GAAACCCTATCCATATTTTGTCTCACTCTCTCACTCTCTCACTCAAATTTTCCATTTGTAAGCAGCTAGCACTGTGACTGGAAGTGATTTGTTCGTGTGGAATAAGTAAAGATGTTCCTATTCATCAAATTTCATGATCACAATATCAAAGGTCTGAATCACCACAAGACGTAATGATTTCTATCACTGACCATGCCCATTTGTAAGGATCACTAAAGGAAAATTTTAATTTTTCGTTGCATTTTGGATCACTATTTTCCTTCAGTGGTATCAGAGCCACTTACAAAACCATGGATCTGTTAGCTGTTTATTTTTTGCATGTTCTGTATTAATCAGATTAAAACACATGATGAATTGAATAATAACCGAGAAAATTAAATGTTGGCATCAAGGTGTGTATGATTTGGGAGACTCGATGTTAACTATGCTTTAGAATTTAACACTAGTATGGTGAAGCAGTGATACACCAGTCGTCTATAAGTTACACTAATATGATCGATCAACTTTATATATGATATAAAAAATTCTGATGCAAAGATGGTATATTGGATATACTGTTTCAATTTCTTCCATTCAATCACAAAATGATTGTTATTATTTTGAAAGATCATTGGTCATTCGCTCCGGAATCCAATGTTAGTATGGTGAAACAATGACATATTGATCGATTATACTGAATTATCAATTGATTTGTGTTTGACGATATGAGATTATTTGCATTTGGGTTCATCACGGCACAAGGGTTATGCTGTCAGAGGGTTATGTGAATTAGGGTTGTAACAACACAAGACTTGTGCAAAAAACGATGTTGATTTCAAATGAATTATTCATTAAAATTTTGCATCGGGTAGCGGAACCCCTGGCTAACTTTGCATAGTATGATCAACCGCCGAAATTTAATTTGAATTATTTAATTAACAAAATTAAAATTAATAATAATAATAATAATAATAATAATAATAATAATAATAATAATAATAATAATAATAATAAAGTGTTTATTATTGTTGTCTTATGGTGATCATTTATGGCCTTAGATTCCTTTATTTTGTTTTTGGGATTTTAAAATATGACCCGTGTGTCGTGCCTTTCTCTTAATCTCTTGATGCAAATTCTTTTCTCATCTTATTCCCTTGTATGTAAAACGAGTATTCTTTTATGTAATGTAATGTAATTAAGAAAAGGAAGAAGAAAAGATTGAAGGAAGACAACCATAGAGATCTATCTTGGAGAAGTTTATATCGTTATTAGGTTAGCTTAGGTTCTCTCATTGGCTCGGGAGAACAATTGCGCTGAGGGCCATAAATGTATCTTTTTATATGTACGTTGATGCATGTGTTTGTATGTTGATGCATGTGAGAGACGATTTCGATGTTAAGCCGGTGAGTTCAAACTAATATCAAATTCCCTCAAAAGGAATATTATGTTTATGCTTTCCAAGTTTTAGCACTCATCAAGACTAGTATCGAACAATGTAGGTTTCCTCTAACGCGAGGTGCATGTTCTATATTAGTAAGGTGCGATGTGATAAATGTAATATCCAATTGCTAAAACATTGGGTCGAACTTAACTAAAAAAACTATAATAAGATTATACATGTTTATAAGCAAGAGTTGGGAATGAATCATATGATAGCTTAGAATAAGGAGTTATTCACCTAACTGAAAATATTCGAGAATTGTATGAGATACAATTGGAAGGAGTTCCTACCTAAATAACCTAGTTTTGTGTAATCAGCCTAATGCTGACTTAAAATAAAGTGAAATGTGGATCTCGACCCACTAGAAAATCTTCCAACGAGATTTTTTGAATCAAATTATGAGGGTCATTTGGTTTGAGTAAAATAGTGGGGGCATATTTGATTAAAGGCCTAATTGAATATGTTGTTTTAGTGATATTTATATTTTCATATTTTTCTTGTAGATTACCATGACGACAAACACCTCTAACAATATTTTACGATCAATCCTTGATAAGGAAAAATTGTATGGGACAAATTTTCTGGATTGGCACCGAAATCTGAGGATTATCCTCAAGCATGATAAGAAGTTGTATGTCTTGGAGACACCTGTTCCTGAAGTAGGATGATGGTTGTTTTTATTTTGGTTTAAGTGTAGGTGTTACTAAGAAGGTTGTGAATTTTGGCAGATGATTAATGTTTTGTTATGTTGGATTAGGTTTTAAAAACCTTTTGTTAAGTTTCAATGGTGTTTGCTTTAGGTATCCTTTAATTTAAGAATAAGTATTATTGTAATGGGTAATTTTCCTTACTTTTAGATGTTATCCTTAAACAACAACGTATTATTCATCCAAAATAGGCCATAGCAAAAATGATGTATTAATACTTTGAACTTATGCAGTTGTGTAACAATATTTCTATAAATGATGTTTTCTTTTATGTTAAGATTTTCTTATGATTCGATATCTAACATATTTAAAGATATAACACAAAATAATAAGTTGATTTCGATATACAAAATTTTAATTGATTTCCATGTATAGTAAACTTTATAAGTTATTGTTAAAGATTTGTTTGTATTCAAATTTTACCATCGTTTTTGTATAGATGGTACACATGGTTAGTATGGTTAAAAAAATTCAGGATCTCATATGTTAATCTCATATAACCACGAGTCACAATTAGTTGACACATTATTATTTAGTTACTTAGTTTAGTTTTAGTTGGGTAAAGGTTATTAGTACTACATGCATTATATTTTAATTAAAACAATTAGTTATTATACCTGAACCAAATGTAGATGACATTTAACTCATGATTTTTCTTTTTTTAGTTTTGTTGAAGAAAGTTCTGAAGATCCAGCAATGGATGAGGACCTATCAAATCCTTCAAGACATTGTGCATAGATAAAGGAAGTTTTTTATCCAAAGGTCGTTGAGAGAAATATTCTTGTAAGTCACATGTGATATCATTTAGCTATACATAACTTATTCTATTCTAATGTAGGATACATATGAAAATAGAAAAGTTGTTGTTAATGGAAATTTATATTTATTTGCAGCAACTTCCTCAACATGTCATCAAGACATGCTCCTTGATTCTCATAAGGAATATAGAGTTGAAGGAATGTGATAATGGTGATATGTACGATTGTGTGGTTCATACCTCAAAGAGGAAACACTGTGTAGAAAAATTTATTGGGTGCGGTTGGTTTGAGTTTGCAAATAAAAGAAGTCTTAAAAAAGGAGACACTCTTGGATTCAACATTAGGCTTCCTGAGGCTGGACGTGTGTTAGTGAGAATTTTGAACCGGTGAATGTAGTTTTGAGGTTGTTGGAAGTGGACTGCATCGAGGCTGAAGTGTGTGGGGTTAATTAGCAAACAGGAAGGTGGATGTCATTTTGAGGGGGGGGGGGGGTGTCAAGTGGTTGTTAATCATGTTAAATTAAAAACTTGTGTGTTAATTTAGTTCTTTTGAATGGTAAATGAACAACTATAATTTGTAAGTTGTTTGGGGAACATGATTTAATATATGTTAGTATTATAATAATGGCATGATGTATAATAGTTTTACGTATTATTATTGCCTTGTGTCTCTATAAAGTAATTATCATAGATTATGCAGACAATTATTATAGATTATGCAGTGATATTACTTTGTTTGGTTATGTAGACAAATGGTTTAGTTTATGTAATGATATTAAATAACCAAAAACAGAAATTGGTTATGCATTTTAAGCTTGATATTATATGATTCAAAATTCTAATGTAATATGATTGTTACATAATACAATAATATAAACATGTTTTGTGCCAATTCACTTGTCATTCACTTTTAATTGTGGTTGGTATTTTTAATGTTGCTATTGGATTTTTTGTCTACACATTTAAAAAGGCTTGTGATCAGGCCAATTAGATGTTCATTGTGACGCCTCAAATGGTCAATTGACAGAGCTATAGAGTGAAGTTATTGGGAGAAAGAGTTTGACTCATGTTAGCAGCTATTTGGTTGTGGTTTCTTCCTCCCCTTTCAAGTTTTTAGAAGGCTTATTTAAAGTGAAGAGATGCTGATAATTCAATTTAAAATTGGTAGGAATGAATTGTGAAATTGTTGAGGAAGTTTGTTGGAACTAGAGGGAGTTTGGAATGATCTATGTTTCATTAAGTGAAGATGAATTCATGGTCATAAAATTCAAGTTGATTGAAAGGTTAATATGAAATATGTAGTTGTTGTAATTTTGTTGTGGAATTTAAATGATAATTTAGGTTAATGAAATGAAAATTACATGAACTTGGAAATGATGTGGTTACATGAACCAACTAAAATGGAATGATTAAATATAGTTCAAAAGTAACACTTTTTGTCAGCAACTATAATGATCATATATATATATATATATATATATATATATATATATATATATATATATATATATATATATATATATATATATATATATATATATATATATATATATATATATATATATATATATATATATATATATATATATATATATATATATATATTTTAACATAATTGCAACACCCTAAAGGGAATGTTATAACTTTCTATGATAATTTTTTAATGAGTATAAGGTTCTAATAATATCATATTAAAATGGAATAAACTTGCAGAGTAAACAATATTCCATTAACTTAGCGACTGTCATGTATAACATCTGTTGAAGCTTAACAACAAAGAAATTTAGATTGTCATGTATAACATATATATTTACTTAGAGTTTCATGTTTTAAATTCCAAGGCATATAAATATATGCCAAAACTTAAACATGCAAGTTAAATGAAATAGTTAACAACAACTATTAATAAATATTAAACATATTCATTAACAACTTGCAAAAGCACATTTGTTAATTGTTTCAATAAAAAAACTCAACAAAATCAATAAAAAAATTTCTAAACAGAAATAGATATCAAATGTAAACAAAGCACAACTTAACATAAACAATAAAATTATTTTGATGAAAGCTATGGATAAACAAAAGATCTATTTGAGGTTATAATTATTTCTCCTTTTTAATATCTTTGATTAGCTTGTTGGAGGAAAGTTGGATACTCAATATCTTCTAATCCATCACTTAAAGATCTCTTTAGTGGAGTCAGCCCATCGTTTCCATTTGCAGGGTCATAATCAGGAGATGCATAACAAGGTTCCTGGAATCATAATTAAGAAACATAAATTAGTTTAGATAAGTTTAAAAGCTAAATGTTATTAATTAATGTGTTAAAAGTTGATGGAAATGAATTACAGAAAGACTTATTAGTTCCTCTTGTGATGAAGGATTTGGTGTTAACAACTTCAATGTATGCTACCAAGACAAAGTGATATTAAGACGAATGCTTCAATACAAATAACATTGATAGACGTTATACAACAAAGAAGTCCACAAAGATTACCTCATCGGGTTTGAAATATTCCCTTATTTTTTTACAGGAATCTTCGTCACCTTTGAAGCCAATGACAGAAAGTATACCATATTTTGGCTAGAAAACAACTCTAATGGCCAACTCCTTTTTCAATATAGCATCAAGTTCATAAGGAAATTCAACAACAACTACATTAATATCAAATTAAAATACAATAAGTCATAATAAAATGTTAATAGCAACCTCTATCAACTCTCTTTTCATTTGAACAATAAACTTTCCAATTAACTTCGCACAATCATCGTCTCAGAAAATGAACTTTGCTTTAAATTTCCCGTCTATTGCCATAACTTCAAGCTTATACCTAAATCAATGGTGATGTTATACAATAACAAATGGCATATGCATAATCAATATTAAGAACAACTTGCTATACACAATACCTTGGTACAACTTCAGGTGTTACGTGATTCGAATAACACATCAGCTTTCCATCTTTCATAGACACACTCTTTGTGCACTTAACACATATATCATAATACCATCCGGTTTGGCCAGTCTCAAATTTCTCCAATGTAGATAACGGTCACACATGTTATCTTCTACGTTAGCAGCAATAGAAACAAAGGTTAAACATAATAGCCTATTTACAAACAAATTATTGACGAAAACATGTTTTACATGCCGAAGACTTGTTATTTCAGCGAGACTTAATACTTCGGTTTTCCATAGAAACTTGTCAAACTCATAATACTGTGAACTTTGAGTAGCTTGAACTTGGAGGCTTGAAGAAGATAACAAAGGAAGATCATCTTTAAGACTAAAATGTTGCAAATAATTGTAATGCATAAATGTAAATACTCTGAATCCAAATTCAATAATATATACACAAATAGACATTGCATTAATAAAACTAAGCTACCTTTCTTTTATCTTATTAATATAGATAATGGCAACATAATTTATTGTTAACTTAGTGTCGTTCCAAGAGTTAGATACACTCAACAGAAAACCTCCCGCAATAGTAGAATCCCTTTTTGTTATTAAAGTTAACAATTGAATGATAAAAACATGTATCTGGATATTACGAAATCAGATAATAATACAAACAGCAAAAAGCAAAACCTTGAGCCTCATTTATCCTTGCATTATGCAGTAGAATAATTATAATACCATCTTCCTTGTAACTCTTATAATAACCGTAAAACTGTATAGCAAGTTGACCCCATAAAGTACATTGCATCAAAGATTTGTTGCAGACAATGTCATGTAAATAAAGCAAATTAGATAAATTAAGATATTATAATATTATAAACCAACGTAAGATGTTGTTATCATGGATAAACAAACTTCATATCTCATATCAGTTATTGTAAAAACAACCTTGTTCTTATTATTATCATCAATCATTTGGGTCTGATAAATTTTGGTAACTCCACCAACAACATCTAGCCAAACAATTTATGTCAAACGATGATTAGAATCTTACACACTTTAAGAATATACAACAACAATAACATTAAATATACGATTAACTTACCAACTAACATATTAGATTGGAACTTTCCCTCAACTATATCTATTAGACCTAGAATGTTGAGATAATTTACAAGAATGTCTGGAATTTTAGATTTCTTAACTGAAGTTTGTAATAACTGACTAAAAATATAGTGTCGCCACCATTAATTTTTATCCTAAGACGAGAATATAACAGAATAACCCTAATTGATGTTACAAAGATTCTAAGTTCTTGACTCACTTTAGACGAAGAGAAGGTGTTAGACACCCTTCATCTACCTTGTTCACAAGGATACTAGAGTTTAGGTTTAAGGTTTAGGAATAGAGTTTTAATTTTTTAGTTAGGGGACTCACCACGGTTTTTAAGTCGTTGGGCTACGTATCCTCTTATGAGGAATTAGAGTCTCAATTCGTAGTTCGTAGTGTTGGTTGGTATTTTTTATATGATTGCATATAATTGTTTTCGAATTTATCCTTGAACTTTGTCTGAGCTTGAAAGTTGAGTGATCGTAGACGTAGTTCGCAGTTAATTTTGAAAGTAATTCTCCTTAATCCTTTTTCGAAAATGTTCTTGAGGTTTTGATTATGATAGTAGAAAAATGGTTTGATCGTTAGTTAGTTGTTTTGAATTTTGATTTGATTAAAGAGTATGGTTGGACACAAAGCGGAAGGAGTCTGATAAAGTCTTCCTCATAACGTGGCCAAATATTGACCACATATCACTCATTGATAAATTGCATAATTTTTAATATCTTTGTAAAATATTGAAATAATTTAATTAACATCATTCTAGAAATTCATCTAATTGAACTATCCTAATAATTAGAATAAGTAACTAAACTAAATGCAGTTAACCTAATAAGCCAAATGACAATAATTAATTAAAATTAAGTTAAGTGTTAAGGGTACAAGAACCACTTAAATGAGGTTAGTAAAATACTAGAAACTTTTAAAAAGCCCAAAACCCATTTTAATAGACCTTAATTTCCCTTAAAAAAACAAGAACCATACAACAAATATATGGGAGGCACCACCTTGCTGTTTATGCTTGTTTCATTGTGTTATTAAAACAAAAAAACTTCAGTTGAATTTCATTATTAGAAATTACCCAATCTTAAAGACACGTGGAAAATTTATAAAATAATAAAATAAATACAAGTGATAGAACCATTGTAAATGGTGTCAGATGCAGAAAAAACACTCACCTTTTTCAAGACCACACTCAAACAGATTCTCTCTCTTGCTTTATTTCAAACTATTTTTTCCACAAAACTTATCATTATCAATTTTAATTCTCTCAAATCCAAATACATAAAACAGATCTACAATAAATTCGAATTTAAATAAATATAAAATATAAAAGAGGGAAAAAAAGAAAACCAACCAGAGTCGACGTGAAGAGGCGGCGGAATTGGGTCGGTCGAAGTGGACCTGCGGTTTGACGGCAGGATGGCGGAGATCGACGGTTGTGTGTTGTCGTGACGGTCGGAGTTTGCTGCGTGATTGGCCGGTTGTTTTGATGCTGATGGTGCTTGTGTAGTATTGGTGTGAAGGTGAAGGATAAGGATAGTGTCTGAGAATGGTGTTATAGTTTTCGTAATAAATAAATATAACTTTCTCTATCTAAATCCTATTTATGCCATGACTCCAAGGAACATGAGTTTTGAGTTTGAGGCTAACACTTATACCTTTTAATCAATTATATGTGCAGCCCCTAAGATTAAACATGCCATGAAATTGGAAAAAAAAGACAAACCTTTCATAGATCTACACAAAGATGTTTATATGCACAAGATAAATCTAAAAAAAGACAAACCTTTCATAGATCTACACAAAGATGTTTATATGCACAAGATAAATCTTATTATTTATCATGCTGGTACAATTAGCAAGGCAGGACAATTACAAGTGAGAATCTGCAAAATATTAAAATACTAGAAGCTTATACTGTAATTGTGCTATCAGACTATATATCTGAATGTGTGAAAAAGGCCTTGAGGAAAGTATGTATTAGACAAGTGACTTTGTGAAAATTATTATTGCAAAAGAAATATAAATTAAAAATAATAATATCAGTTTAACATCATATGGTTTAAATTACAAATAAATTAAAAAAGAGAAGATAAAATTGAAATTAAAAGGGTGGTTTCATATTTTATCATTGATAAAAAATAAAATATTTTAAAACGAAGTTTTTTTTTTTAAAAAAAAAGTGTAAGAATGGAAGATTGAAAATTTAGCGAAAATGTGGATTTTGAGCATTGTTGATTGTCGGGAAATTTGTGGATGATAGTGTTAGAAAATTCGCCTTTCAATTGTGAGAAAAAATTTAGGTGTTTTGTTCAGAACTCTAAAATAATTATTGATAAGATTGTTGATCTCTAAATGATTGTTGATGGATACTTCAGAGTTTCTTTGTTGTTGTTTTTCGATGTGAAGAGCAACAATTTTTAGGAGAACTCTACTGAATTGTTCATGTTTTTTGGATCTGTTTCATAGAGTTTCTGTTTTGAAACCCTGAAATAAATCAAAAGTAAGAGAAAGATTGAAATTGTGAAATTCTGGATGAAAAATTAGATGGACAATAGTCTCATTTATAGACTTAGAATTAGGTTTAAAAAAACTTAGAAAATAAATTATCCAAAAACCAAGAGAAACCCTAAATTTGATTTCTGAAAAATGAAAGAAAATTAGTAACAACAAAATAGAAAAAAATATTAAAAATGCAACACAAGAGATTTGAAACCACAACCTCGCATTTGAAAGCTCTATTCCTTACCAATTGTACTACATTACTCATTTTAAATAATAGCTCATTTGAAAGTATATGAGAAGTGCGCATTGTCATACCCCAAAATTGCTCTACTGATATTATTAATTAATTTTTTTCTATTAATCTTGGTATTATTATATTCTTTGATTTTAAAAATACTAATTAGTTTTATTTGTTGCTCCTACACACATCGCGGTCCAAATAATAAGGGGGATATATTTGGTATTATTATCGTGCATAAATCGTGTTGGTCTATTGTATTGTGAGGCCCGTTTAAAATAGACAAAGAGGGGGGTGTTCTTTTGTGTTGGACTTAAGATTTTGTCAAGACTAGAGGTCCAGATTGGGTCATCTTGTTTTTAAAGCCCATGTTTATTTTGTGATTGAAGATGATACATTGGGGGTCTGTTTGCTTTGCTTTCAAGCCCATATTTCATTTCTTAGAGGCCTATCATGGTAGGTCTGTTGACTGAAGTCAACATTTCAAGATTATCATTCTTATATTATTATTAATTATTATTATTAAGTGTTATTATTTATTATTATTAATATATATAATTATTATTAATATTTTTATTTCATTATTAATGTTGACCAAGTCAATCAGGTAGGGATGAACCCCTAATTTGCGCCTTTTTGCTTCATTCATCTTCACTAAGTAAACAAAGAAACAAATACTGCACATATTAAGCAAAGCAAAATAAACGTATCAAAATGTAAAATTGAAACAAATCCAATCGTGTCATTACAGAATCATCCAGAATCAATTACAGAAAAACAAATCCCTAATTACATATTTGAACCAATTACAATATATAAGGCTGTTTACTATGGAAAATGGTAAACAATCGCTGGTCCTCCCAGAGTCCTAAACTGAGGGTAACTTGCAAGATCAACCAGTTGATCTCAAGATGTGTGCTAAGAGTTTTTGCTATCACACCTATTCCGTCGAAATATTAGTCAAGGGAAATAATTTTCTTTTGACTGGAGAACCGGGTGTAATAGTTTTCCACACTATGATTTAATCGACTGACTGGTAACTCATGACCGACAGAAGATATTCATACAAAAAGCGAGACTCACTAAATTAACTGACAGGTGACTCGTGACCCACAGATAGTGCCGAATTATTTATGTGAAATAGAATATAACGTATAATTTTGCTCGACGATAAAGAGAAAACAGGTAAAGTACTCAAAAGATATAATTGAAAGATAAAAGATTTGCATTAAAATAAAAACGGTGATTCACGTACATCAAACACTCTTCACTCTTGATTTCCTGACGCTCAGAATGAGAGAGTTTGACAAGTGATTTGAGAGTACAAGTGAACACCCTCAAACTACACGAGATCTGCCTATTTATAGTGTTTACAAAGTAACTACCTAGATAAAATCTACGGCTAATATTAACATCTTGAGGTAACTGTTTCACTAGATGTTGCCACCTATTTGGAGCTCAAACACGTCGTGGATTGCTAGCAACTGCTCGTGATTTTGAAGTTCCACCTATTTTGCGCTTGAACACGTCGTGGGTTGCTAGTAACTGCCCACGATTCCTCTAAGCCTCTTGAACATAAACCGCTTCTGCCTTGCTTTGACGCTTTCTTTCTGGCAAAGAATGATCACACTTCCTCTAAGTCCAAGAAACCCTTCTTTGTCGACTAAAACCATTTTCGACCAAGTCCTTGTCTTTTACCCTTTGGTCGACTAAACCAATTTTATCCTCCTGACATATCCTTTTATTTCTTCCTAGTCGACGTAGTTCAATTTCGACAGTTTCAGTGTGACTCCTTCCAAGCATTAACTCTGACTTAATAAAACCAACTTTTCACACATTGGCTCCCGTTTCCCAAAATATCTTATTTTGGAGGATGAATCCTAACTTATGAGAATATCTTCACTTATCACATGTACTTGAATTCCTTAAGATTTTCCAAGGTAACAAAATTCCCCCCAGAGATGCCATTTTCGAATTTCGACTAATATGAGATAATGGCATCTCTGAAGCATCGGTTTCACCATTCGACCAAATCGTTTCCATTTCTCAAAAAGTGAACATTATTATTCTGTCTTTTCCATGACGTCATGCAATCATGGTTGCGTACCACGCCTTTCAGTTTCGAGACGTGAGACATTAATTGCTTGCCATCATTTCACTTTTAGTGGGAAACATGGCCCACTAACTCACGTTGGTCTTGTGGAACGCGCCCCACTAACTGACGTGATTTGAACTTTGGGACATCACAAAATATTTTCCCATTATTTTATCTTTCCTCAAGGTCTATAAATACCCTTATTTCCTATTTTTTATATTTTCCTTCACTTCTTCAATCCCTTGCTTTTTAGAAAACAAAAACCCAGAAACTACACACCATCGTTGTTCTTCATCTTCACCCTCCTTCAACCTTTTACAATGGCGAATGTAAAAAATCAAACCTCTTCTCCAGTCGTCGCTCTTCAACTGTGCCTTGTCGACGGCAAAGCCTATGTACCAGAACCTCCATTTTCTGAGGAGAAAGCTAAAATCTGGAAATCTCAGGTACTTATCCCTTTCTCTCTTGAGGAGAAACCCTTAGCCTTTTTAGGACCACTTCCTGCTGATGCACCCTTTGAAATCTATGTAGATGATAAGGAGGCATTTTCCCCCACTAGTACTACTACCAGACCCATCATCTCTTCTCCAAACCCTATATCACTTAAATATATTGACAGGAACTTTAGGACCGCTCCACCTCTGTGTTGCCCTAAATTTTGTGCTTGGATGGCACGTTTAGAAACTGCCAAAGGAGACCAATGGAAAAAGATGGGTATCTATACCCTACTAGAACTTTCTCGATGTGGTCAACCTTATTCTAGTGGCATGCTCCTAGCTTCCATATATTTTTGGGATGGGTCGACCAACACCTTTCATATTAAATGCGGTATGATCACTACTACCTTGTTCGACATCACAACCATCACTGGGCTGAAACCATCTGGCACGATTTTCAACTATAGAGATGTTGAACCTGTGCCAATAAGGTTTGATATGGGTGAAGCTGGAAAGCCAACATATAATAATTTCATCGACCATCATGCTCAAACCTCTGGTCTTGTAACTGATGAAGAGCATGTGGCGTTCTAACCTTGTGGCTATCTCGCTTTGTTTTTTGTTCCAGGTCAATGCAGGTGGCCAAACAATTTTCTTATCTGGCTAATCAGTTGCATATGGGTGAAAATGTTGCTTTAGGCCAGCTGATTTTGGCCTCTCTTTATGCATCTTTGACTGATGCTGCTAACCAAATAAAGCGTTTTGACCCTAATAATCCAAAGAAAAAGAACGTCCTAGTCCATGGTCCCTTCTGGCTCTTGCAGTTATGGTTGAATGCCACTTTCTCTGAGGAGATTAAGCCTTTAGAAATAGAAAGGTGGCATATCCTCCATCTCAAAGCCACCGCCATCTCCCTCTGACTCCTATCGACAAAGGCTCCCCAAATCCTGAAGTCTTCAGGCTGCTGTTTACCATTATGCTGACAAGAGTCGACTTTACCCCCTCAATGTCCCCTTTTTATGCTAGACAAGATGGCCCAGAGTGGTTTATTAGGGCTTTTCCACCCACGAGAGAAGAGGACAAGAAAAATTCTTTAATCCTTTGGAGGTGTTACTTGACTCCCCAATTCTTATCTACTGTGATTGCCGGTGTAACCCCAGGTTTGCTAGCTTACCAGCCTAACTTGGTGGCTCGATAATTTGGCCTCTGTCAACTTGTTCCTAAATCTTTGTTCAATTCTCATGGGCTGCTGTTCGACATCACAATTGACCAACCCTTCGAAATGATCAAGGATGATATAGGGAATCTATGGGCACGAATGCCCACACTCAGTCTCACTCCTTTCCAACCGTCTTTTTACTGCACCAAAGAATTTGAAACTTGGTGGCAGACATATTTTGTTACATTCCTTGGTGATTCTAATGCTAAGCTGGCTGAACTAACCACAACTTTCTCAAATTTGCAGGCAAAGGCGACCAAGTGTAAGATTACTCATATTAAACAAATTCGAGATTTCCAGAATTACTTCTGAATTGTGTATAGACCTAATGATCTTCGTCAGACCATCTATGAGGCCTCTGTCGAATTAAAGGAGAAGGTAACTGATATAATATCGATACTAAAAATACCTAGT